TATCCTCTGGGCATTCTAAATCCTGACTGAATTACTCTTCCAGTTATTTTCAACCCTTTTTATCTAATAGCACTCATAAACTAATTACTAAAATTCCGCAGCACACCAAAAATGTATTATATTTTTTGCCCATCTGACAAAAAAATAGGTATAATTTTGATTCATTCACACTGGACTGCTATTGTTGTGTTGACTGTTGTCATTTTTTTAATTTGATAATCTAAGAGAAAAGAGATCAAGAATTGTATGTTTTAAAAATTCTTGTGGCACACTGAAAATTGCTGGACTATTCAGATACACATGAAAACTCCAAATAGTTGTATTTCCGTAGTTAATAGTGTTTTCATGAGAACTACATGTAGTGGAAAAGCACTCCTTTCTCTTTTTCTCTGAAAGATAAGTTCAATTTAATTAATTAGTTAAGGATACAAAACTTAACATAAATCAAGTAGACTCACAGAACAGAAACAGAGCATCATATCTTACCATGTTTTTCCAAGGCCCCTAGATTGTACAGTAGCCAGGAACACCTTATGACAAGTTTAGGGTCTTGCAGATATGAAAGGTTCAATCCTTTGCTGTTCCTTAGGCTCTTTATATTCTAAGCTTACATCACCATTAATGAAGTACATGCTTCAGATAATTTAACTCTTCAGTAATAAAGATTTATGTTTCTCCAGGACACAATGTGTATGGGGAAGTAGTGGGAGGGGGAGTAGGTTCAATGTTCAGGAGACCTTGAGTAGTGAGGCATTATAATATTGACTTTGTGGTCCAAGAACCACAGTGGAAAATCTGTTTCATGGTTTTAAGATTCTGTGGGTGAAAATCTTATTCAGAAGTGGTTTAGTGAGAGAACCGAATTATAAATACTTTGTAGGGTAATATTCTTGCTCAATGGTTTAAGAGTGGAACCAAGAAAAAAATGTACATCAATATTACTTTGCAACTAACATAAAACTGCTCAGAATATTTTTGTAGGAAAAAATTAGCAAAAATCACTCATTACCTCCTAAATATTAAAACAAAAAGTGAGAAAAACCTGATATTTACATTAATATTAGTAAAGTTGAATACATTAAAATAGCCATTTATAGTTTTTATTTGGTCAATATCTACTCAAGCTCTTCTGTTATTAGGGCAGATTTGGTTCTTGGTGAGGACCCTCACCTTCTCACTTTGTTCTGATATGGGGGAGAGAGAGAAAGAGAGAGAGAGAGAGAGAGAGAGGGAGGGAGCGAGGGAGGGACTTCTAGTCTCTTTTCCTGTTATAATGCCAGCGTGAGGGTCCCACCCTCATGACCTCATATAAATCTAATAATTACACAAAGCCCCACTTCTAGATACTGTCACTTTAGAGGTGAGGTTAGGGCTTCAACATAAACTTCAAAGGGGTGAAAACATTCAGTCCATAATACTTTCTTTATCCTATATCTTGCCTACTTCCACCTGAAGAGGGTAATTCTTTTTATTTTTAATTTATTTTTATTATGAAAATTACTTACTGTAAATCATCTGACATCAAAGAACACAAATAATGAAAGTTCTTTCTTTAATCTTCAGGAATCCCATTTCCTAGGAATAGCTAATATTATCTGCCAGAATATACAAAAAGTTGTCATCAGTATGTATACATGTATATATAACTAATATTTTACATTTAGATTGTCAGTTAAGCTGTGTGTGTGTTTAGTGTAAAGCAGAGATGTCTCCAAATATTCAGCTGTCTTTTTAGCATGTCTTGACTAATTCATTATCCCCCCCCCCAACACACACTTATCTATAATAATAAAAGCTTAATATGCTAATTAGACTGGACAGCTGAATGACCTACTGGACAGCTGAACGACCTTCTGGACAACCTTCCGGACAAAGCCAGGGCTATAAGGGCTGAGGCAGCCTCTGCAGCTGTGAAGGTCGAGGCAGCCACTGAGACTGTGAGGGCCAAGCCCCTTGCATGAATTTCATGCATAGGGCCTCTAGTACAACATAATTAACTGTATTATATACCATACTAGAGGCCCGGTGCATGAAATCAGTGAACAGGTGGGACCCCTAGCCCTGGCCAATGATCAGGGCCAATCGGGACTGGGCCAGTCGGGGCCTGCCGGCTGAGGGGAGAGACAGGGCATGGGAGTTTGGCCGCAGGCCCCAATGGGGCAGCTAGCCTTTGGCCCCCCTGAGAAAAGGGCTGCATCTGCTGCCACCCAACCTTGATTTCCTGTCCCAGCCCAGGGCACAAAGGCCCTGGCAGTGTCAGGAGAGGAGTTTACAGTTGTTAGGCCGGGCGCGGAAGGAACGGATGCCAGACACCGAGCCCATGCTGGAGCCCCGCCACTGTGCATTTCCTCGCCTCCCTTCATCCTCCTTCCCCCACCACCATACTGCCACTGAGGCCTGCCAGCTGGGGGGTGGGACTGAGGGAGGTTTGCTGGATGGGGAGAGGGACCGTGGGAGGTTGGCTGCTGGCCCCGAGGAGGGAGTCAGCCCTCCACCCTCTTGGAAAAGGGACCGTGTCCTCCGCCACCCATCCCCAGTTTCTCATCCCAGCCCAGGGCCTGCTGGCCAGGGGGAGACCACGGGAGGTTCACTGGCCAGGGGCAGGTTGGCTGTGGTAGTGTACTGACCACCAGGGGTCAGCTCCTGCTTTGAGCATCTGCCCTCTGCTGGTCAGTGTGTGTCATAGCAACTGGTCGTTCTGGTCATTCAGTTGTAATGGTCACTTGGACTTACATATATATAGATGCCATTATATATGTTGGTCTGTGTAATTTTCAATTGTTTTAAGATACTAATAGTAAGATTTTTATTGTTTTTACTTTAATATTTTTCTCTCTCCAAATGGACCTTTGTTGCTTTTGAAATATTTCTTAGCTATTATGGTCCTTTGTCTAGTTTCAAGAATTTTTATCAGGCTTTTCACTTCAGTTGCATAAAATTTGTGTGTTAATATGGGGAGGTTTGCCCTTTATATAGTATTATGTATTTTTACCTAGGAATATGCCATAGCTTTTATTTATTCCATCCAGTTTTATAGGTTCTTTACAGCTTTATTTATGGGTGTTTTAAATATTAATGCTTTGCAAATATTAAGCTTTTTTCTGCAATAAATTTGTAAATGTAACCACCTATTATAACACGATGCTTTTACATTTTGCATGCTTTGTAAGCAACCATATTATTGGTTCTAATGCCCTTTACTTGCCTTCTTAAGTTTTTCAGGTAATGGGTTTTCAAATTATGTCTTTTCCTTCCTAATATTTTTTTTTCTGTTTCTTTCTCTTATCTCCTTACATTATACTTTTCAGTCTCAATTGAACAGTGATAATAAACCATCTTGACTTGATGTTTCTTTAATAGTTATATCCCCTTTTTATTTTATTGTGATACCATTTTAGAAGAATCAACTTTATTATTAAGAATCCTTTTCTCAATTGTTCAATTTAAAAAAAAATCAGATTATTAATGAGTGTTAAACTTTATTAAATGCCTTTTTAGCATCAAATGAAAAAGTTGTGTGAGATTTCAGAGTGATGAGTAGCCTCAAATATTCTTACATTTTTAGAGTTTCTACTTGCTCTTTGAGTCTTTTTCTTTTATTTCATAGTATGTGAGTATTTTAATTATTCAAAAATTACTCTTTAATTGTCTTTATATTTTCTGGTTTAGTACTAGGCTTATGATATAGGTTGCTAAAATCCATTAGAATAATTGTGTTTTATGTTTCAGATTAATTTTAAAAACTTCGTAATTATCTACACTTGAAAGCATGTCAGAGCATGATGGTAAACTTTTTGGAGCATGATACTTTTTTGAGACAATGCTTAAAAGACCCCTCTTCCATAGCTGATAAGAATTGTTAGTACATTTTTGTAATATCCTCAATCATTTTTTTTTTTTGGATGGAAAAATTTGCCCTCTTTTATCTATCTATCTATACCCGTCCTCATTTATTTTTCATGAATTCATTAATTTATGTATTTTTTTTCTCTCTCAAAAAGGTTCATGGAAATAATTTGTAAAGTTTTTGTCGTTATTTAGAAATGTTTGAACGTATTTAAGCAGATTTTTCTTCAGTGATACCCTTCTGCATTTCTGTATTCATTTAAAAATACTTAGACATAACTCTAAACTTTAACGGTATTGTTTATACTTTCTATTTTGAGTGCTTATATTGGTTTACTTCTTAGTTTGAGATTTTTGGGGGGATGGGGGGAATTAGGGGTCAGAACGCATATGTGAGTTGTAAACTCTCCAAGGACTATGTTTTATATTTTAATATAGTTGTCAATGATCAGTGTCTTATTTGACTTTAGTATTCATGAATATCAGTCTTATTTCTCTTAAAATTATTTAGATTTGGTCCATTGCTTTTAGGAAGGAAATTAGTATTATAAGGAAGAAGTTTGTTGTAATTTTATTTTAACTTTCACTTGTGGCATTTTTTTTTCTTTATCTGTGAAATGGGAAAATTTATTTTACTTTTTTGTTTGTTTCCTAAATTAATGTTTTCTGTCAGTTGGTGTATCTTAAATTAAGTTTTTATAGAGATTTTGATAGAGAGGACCTTCAAAGGAAGATACTTTAGTATTATATGTGTTTAACAGATCTACATGAATTAGTTATATGTTGTTGAGTAACAAATTACTCTAAAACTTAGTAGCTTTAGAAGAACATAGACTTACTATCTCTTAGTTTCTTTGGGCCAGGAATCAAGTCATGGCTTAGCTAGAGGTTCTTCGCTTCAGAGTCTTATGAGAATGCAGTTATGGTGTCAGCTCAGGGCTGGGATCTCAACTGAAGAATTGACTGGGGAAGGATCTGCTTCCAAGCTTACTCTCGGCCCAATCTAGTGTTTTTTCCACTGCAACACATATCATTGGGTATTTACTTTATTTAAAAGTCACTCTTTGGGTCTTACATCCAACCCCAAGAACATGTGTGTGAATGTGTGTACCCATAGGAGGGGAAGAAAGGAGGGTGAGTAAAAAAAGGGGAGGATGATTTTAGCACAATATATTTTTAAGAACTATATTTTTTCCTCCTATAGGTGCCTTAGCTGGACCAATTATTGTGGAGCCACATGTCACAGCAGTATGGGGAAAGAATGTTTCATTGAAGTGTTTAATTGAAGTGAATGAAACTATAACCCAAATTTCATGGGAAAAGGTACATGGCAAAGGTTCACAGACTGTTGCAGTTCATCATCCTCAATATGGATTCTCTGTTCAAGGAGAGTATCAGGGAAGAGTCTTGTTTAAAAACTATTCACTTAACGATGCAACAATTACTCTGCATAACATAGGATTTTCTGATTCTGGAAAATACATATGCAAAGCTGTTACATTCCCTCTTGGAAATGCTCAGTCCTCTACAACCGTAACTGTATTAGGTAGGTATGCTTGAATTATGTGTTTTGGTGGTAGTTCTGAGGATTGTACTAAAAATATTTTAAAGAATTCAAACTTATTGGAATTATATATAAATTTAGGTTTAAAATAGGTTTTTCAAGTTCTGTATTAAAATCCTTTGATTCTAAGTTCTTAATTTAAACAAACTCTTTTCTCTACCTACCTACCTACCTACCTATGTAATTGTATGTAGGTATTAGCTATTTTACTTTTTTCATGAGATTATTTTTTATTTATACTAAGTTCTGAGTTTTTTTTGACATACTTCCAAAAAGTATTTTTATTGATTTTTAGAGAGGAAGGGAGAGGAAGAGAGAGATAGAAATATCAATGATGAGAGAGACTCATTGATCAACTGTTGTCTGCATGTCCCCACTGGGGATCTAGGCCGCAACCAGGGCATCAAACCATGTCCTCCTAGTTCAAAGGTCAACACTCAACCATTGAGCCACACTGGCTGGGTATGCCATACTTTTTAAAACATATGTTTTTATTGCCCTAGCTGGTTTGGCTCAGTGGACTGAAGGGTCCAAGTTTCATTCCAGTCAAGGTCACATGCCAGGTTGCAGGCTCGATCCCCAGTAGGGGGGGTACAGGAGGCAGCCGATCAATGATTCTGTCTCATCATTGATGTTTATATCTCTCTCTCCCTCTCCCTTCCTCTCTGAACTCAATCAATACACACACACACACACGCACACACGCACACACACACGTATATGTATATATATGCATATATATGTGTATATATGCATTATATATGTATACATATATATGTGTGTGTTTTTATTGATTTTAGAGAGGAAGGAAGACACAGAGGAAGAGAAATAAACATCAGTGTGAGAGAGAAACATTGATCGGTTGCCTCCTGTAAGCACTCCAACTGGGGACCAAATCTGTAACTGTGAATCATAGACGATCTTTTGGTGCATGGGATGAGGCTCAACCAATTGAGCCACACCAGTCAGGGCTCTTTGTCATACTTATTTTCTGTCAAGTTTTCACCTTGTAATTAAATTAAAACCTTTAAATAGCTTTTCCATTTTTTAAAAGGACTTTCTTCTTGGAGCCATTGACACTTCAGGTTTGTATTTCAAATAAAATTTTATTTCTGCTGTCATGGATTTGCATAGCTATTTGAATCCTGGGTTATTGTTCCTAATGAAAGATCTTTTCTTTCTGATAACTGTTAAAGTTTATTGTGTAATTTAGAATGAGCTAATGTATTAGCATTAAGATAGCCACTTGCAATGAAAGATAAACCAATTTGGAAATGCTGGTGAGTACTTTTGAATAATAGAATAAAGATTAAGGAGTTACAGTACCTTAGACATTTCCACCCAAAGTGGGACTCCTTTAGTCGGGCAGTCTCTGCTTCAGATCTGCCTATTTACCTGTTAAGGATTTTTGTCAGGTCTGCTGATAGCTCCCCCTCCTCCATACTTTTTCTTTACTTTTCTCCCAGATGTTACTTCCCAATAAGCCTTTAGTACTCCTCACTTGGTCTCAGTGTCTGCTTTCAGAGAAATAAGTACATAGCCCCTAACATTTAACCCATTGAGTGCCAACCAATATCCTAGGAACTATGCTAAAATTGCCAAAGCATTTTTGCTGATTTTACAGCAGTTTAGAAAAAAAATTATGAATCGCAAGTAAACGAAGTTACATATTCAAAAACTTAAGGAAACCTTTACTAACTTTGTATTCATCTTTGACATATATTGTTTGCTGATTGTATTATAAAATACTAATAGAAAAAAAATTGCGGCCTCCTCCCCTAAATGCCTAACTGCTCTCTCCTGCCAGCCTGATCCTCCTAACTGCTCTCCCCTCCTGGCCTGATCCTCCTAACTGCCTAACTGCTCTCTCTTCCTCTCATGCCTTCAGACCCCAGGTAGGAGTGCTGAGAGCTCTCTGCTCAGGCCCCGCCCCTATCCTGACGTGTGCCTCCGCTGGTGGGGAGGTGGGGGCGCTACCCCTGGCAGCAGCCTCATGTCTCAGGGGTGCAAGTCGCTGCCCACCAGCTCCTGTGCGCACGCAGCCTGTTGAACAGTCGTGACTGGGACACCATTAGGACCAATTAGCATATTACCTGTCTATATATAGATTTTTATATTGCGAGATAGTATGCAAAAATAGAAATAAAATAAAAATTTTGAGGAACTTATATGTTTAAGACACTATCCTAACGAGTTGTGAGAAAATATAACTTACATTTATGAAAATTGCTATTTTTAAGAAATA